AGAGAGAGAGAGAGAGAGAGAGAGAGAGAGAGAGAGAGAGAGAGCTATCACAGTATATGATATAACCAGAAACCGCACTATCTGGAAGGTTGCAACCTGTACGTGGTGTCAATAAAGCAAATATTATTTTATCTTTATTTAGTATTTGGTAAACAATAAAATAATAAATGAACGCTCGAATGAGAATTCGAATATATTCCTATGAGGAAATCATTCCAGCGATTTGATGTTTTTGTTCTTTTTGGGTGAGATTAAAATTAATTTATGTTAATAGAAACGGGCACTGATTGATTCCAGATATTGGTGTGTTTTCAAAATTTTTTCGTATAAACAGCTTTTTATACGAATTATACGGTAACGCGAATCCTTTTTCTACCACAAGAAGTCTTTTATACTATTTTATCATTGATATATTAATCATACGTCAATCAGAGAGTACGATGGCTCGAACGTGACACCGGAAATCGAAATAACAGTTGCTTCAATTCCAACACGTTTTAAATTTGATAGCATATAAAATCGGCATGAAATGCCGATGCCGTGTTGACAATGAGAATGAATAGCGTATATCAAATTTCGAGACACAGTGCACAAGTTTGCGACCGAAGAAAGAATCGTGCGGATCCATTAAACACTGACTGAAACGGTTGAAAAATTACTTGCTATTATATAAATTATAAGTTGCTTCACCGGTCACTGAGTGCTAACTTTACGGTTCAAACACGGCATTAGAGAAATAATAAACAGTAATGAATAAGTAAGAAATATGATGTTAAAGATTATCTATAATAGACAAGTTATTCTACATTACGAATTATAATTAATAAACATATTAATCATATATTAATACCTTTTTGTTCAGTGATAAACGGTTTTTTCTGCTTGTGTGTTAACACACGACGGATCACTTAATAAATAGTTACAAGCATTGCGTGAAACTGACTGATCGTGTGAGAAACTTACCATGTTTGATAATCCTGAATGAGGCGTCCTCGAATCGAGCTGAAGCTTAATTATATTTATCATCGCACGGACACAGATTATCGTTTAAATGCAGAAGTCGTTTCTGCTGCGTATAAAGAATAAATGTTATACGCGATACAGTCGTTATCTATATATGAATTTTTTTATAACGAACGGAGAGATCCGAAGAACTGGACAGCGTCATAAATGCTTCCAGTTTTTCTCGGCAACTTTTATAATATATAAATAAAACACTTCAACCGAGAAAGAAACTCAGCACGATTTAACTCTCAAGTTTCGAAGCTCTTTAAGCACTGCGATTAGAACTTTAGAGAGATATAAAATATAACGGAATACGATAGGTTACTAAATGTTTCTTTACCCAAAGCGTCGACTTGAATCTATTGTGTAGCGTACCATGAATAATTAATGGTGACCCCAAATGATCTCACGTGTACGCGCAGCTAAGCTCAAGTAATTTTATACGAGTTTATTTATACGAGTTACATTTTCGAGGCAATTGGAGCAGCTTTATACAAAAACGAGAAATTATATCGAGAAACGAGAGTCATTAATTTTTGAGGAAAAAAAAATTACTCCTGTCGAATAGTAGTTGAATTTATAATAAACTTATAATAAATTTATCAGCATCTGATACAATCTGGTACACGTATTTTATTCTTCTTTAATTATATAAGTTTCGTTTTTTTTAACGGAAAAGTCATAAAATTCTGCAAGGTTCAGCTATGAGTTTTGCAAATCATGCTTGTGAAAATGTTAATCGTTAATCATAAACGTTTTATTATACCTACATATATAATGGATGTAGAAAGTCTAAGGACTTCTATTTATAAAATAAAAAGAAATAATTGTTTTTCATACAATTCTCTGCATATATATATTTTTAGCATCATAATTATGCATAAAAAAGTCTCATTACGTCTGAAATGTTGTACGCATTGATGATGGCTAGGAAATCTACACTAAGGAATTATGCTAAGGACTCCTATTTTTAAATATGAACAAAACGAAATAATTGTTCTTCAATTCTCTGTCTATATAGAAAAGTTCTTTTTCTAAAAAGAACATAATTAGTTTAAATTACAAAATAAATAACAGAGGAGTAGCGAAGGATTCCACGTCCACAACTGAGAGTTAACATAGATTTTCCGAGTTTATATTTAACAAACAATTATGAAATATTATCTAGCGATCGAGTAAAATCCGTAATTGACATAGGAAAAAAGAATATAAGCGCGTCAAGAAATTAATAGATATCTAAAAAGATTATCTCGTTGCAAACGCAAAGTCCGTCTCGTATGATTATAATTTCGTATTGAGACTTGAGAACGGTTGACGGCAGCTGGCAGCAGCTCCAGACCAGACACGTGTTTCGTTATGTCATAAGAATGATTAAGGAAAAGGGAAAAACAAACAAGTATCGGACAACTCCATGAGAATTTTTTTTCTTAATACTAGCGTAAACGGCATCATATTGTTTAAAGTAGGACCATCGATTCAGTGAAAGTGAGTCATCATGTACGTCATCGCTGAAGTTTGACGAATCTTGGTGTTTACTGACAAGATTGATGAACGAAAGGAGAATCGTGAAACAATCGACATCAAGGAATTCACCTACAATAATGTTCTTCCGTACGCATATTAGAGATAACATTGATTTACACGAAATTGTTGACTTCGCATTTTTTTTTTTTTGCCAGATGTTGAACCTAACCTATAAGCGTGGAAATGGAGGAGATTCCTGCCTCGTCCTCGTCGAGCGACGTAGTTTCTAGTCAGAGATCGTTACCATCCACTCACGATGCCGGATGGAATGATCCACCGGAGTGGGCGTTGTCCTCGCAACATAATTCATCAGGAACATCCACCAGGAGACTTCTGAACAAGCGAGTGGCATTCCCGCTATCCTCGCAAACCCCTTCTCCAGAGAAGGCTACTGTTTCGCCTGCATCATTGAATATGCCTCCTACTTTACAGTCTACCGCAGTTCCCACGATAACCACGGCTCCCCACAAACCTTTTCTGGCTCCTACCGATAAGGACTATGCAAAGACAATAAAATCGGATGATAATTTTGATAAAGATCAAGCTTTGACAGAAATTTTGACCAGTTTAGAATCCGTGATGACGGAGCAGAAGATGGAAGAGAACAAGGTGAAGGAAATACGAAAACGACTAGATACCATGAAATCTAATTGGCTCGAAAACAAACTGAATGATACAGTACAGAGAAATATCTTGAATATATCGAAAGGTAATAATAAAATCCTTACAACCATATTTGTTAATATTATATGTTAATATTATGTATCAGCACGATAAATATATTTACTGTATACATTTATAATGGCTGAATATTTTCAGCGCTGCTAAGGAAAGATGTCAAGGAAGCCGACAAAATTCATGTTACTCTTATGATGCAACATGCAACTGTTTGTCGTACTTGGATGCCAGCAATCAGGCATATAATATTCGAATTAAAAAAGGAATCTGAGAAATCCAACGTCCTGCAACCAGAACAGCCACCTCTGTTATTTGTCGACTCGAATAAAAACTGATTTTTTTTTTTACTAAAAGTAAGCTCATAAATATATATAAAATAACGATAAATATATAAGAATTGAAATAATTTAAATATATATTTCATTGCTCTTTGATATGTCTATTCACTGCGTACAATACTTTCGCAGTGAATGCATCAAACAATATTTTAATGTGATATAATAAATCTTTTCGAATCTTCAGCAAAAGAAACACAGATGATACAGTGTAATACAGTGAATCATTTCATCTTTTTAACATTGGTATTATTGTATAAATATAATAATGCAATGATTCACATTGGGATGCTTTATATTTGGTGACACAAGTCAATATAGGTGTCATTACTCATGATTGAATGATAAAGAAAGAATAATATTTGTATCACCAAATGGAAAGAACTCTGTTTCTTATACTGTGTCATCTGTCTCTTGTTGGAAAATACTTAATATTAAATGATTAATAAAGTTTATTACAGGAAAATTATCCTAAAATAAAAATGAAAGCAGTTGTATTCATAAAAGTTTTTTGTATTTTTCATTTCTCTCTTATGTATATTCACAAAGGACAATTACATCTGTCTTACCACATATCTTTGTCTAAATGTATGTTCTTACGTTGATAATAGTCATCGATAGCTAAAATCAATTATTTTTATTACTTATATGTATCATATACTCACTACTGTATTCTAAGCATACCTCAATCTTAAGATGGACACATCCACGCATCCTGAACGAAATTTATTATTAACTTGAAACTGCCCCTTGTTTATTTTTTCGCCCGTGTAATGAGTCTTTTATACCATTGCTTTCAGCTGTCTTCTACCTTCATCGTTTCGAGAACTTCGTGTCGCGGCAAACTAATGCGCGCAAAAGTTTACAAGTTATGGCTTTAGAAAACTTACACTTATAACTTACGACCACTTCTTCAATCAATCTTTAGTCAATATATTAAATTTTCTTCCATTCTTCGCGTAAATAAATATTCATAAATACATTTAGGGGAGCGACGACGTGCGTGAAAGCTCTCTCGACTATTTTTCATTCTCTCTTTCACTCTCTCATTCTCTCTCTCTCTCTCTCTCACTTACTTTCATTCTCGCTCTCGGGAAGAACGTGTCTCGCCAATTTCGCAAGAAACTACGAATCCGCCGAGAGATAATCACATTCTCGCGCGTCCTCGCCCAAATTTCGATTTAAAATTTTCTCATGGTTTTATCCAAAAATATATATACATATATACGGTCGGTGTATACGTAACGCTACATCCTTACAACGTACATCTCTACGAATTCGGGCCACAAATTTCACCAGCAAACCGGTTTATTAGATCACCATACGTTTCTTTTTTTTCTCCCGCTTCTTTTCCATTGAGGCGATATCCATAATCGCGGAAAGGAAAGTTATTAACATTCGGTCGTGATCACGCGGGTTAACTTTAACCGATGTTAACCCTGAATTTAATGAATGATAGCCACTTTCATTCACTAATTTGCGTTTGTTCGCGATTGATGACAGCACTACGTTTCCCCGACAATCGACAGATTATAAGGCGTGTAAGCGGATTTCGCGGGACATATACACCGACTTGTTTGCTTCGTTTCGCTTTGTTTTTTTTTTTTCTTTTTGCTTCTTTATTGTTACACATCCATACGCATGCTACGAACTATTTAAAAAATTTGCTCTCGCACTTTCGTTCGTCCTTCTTCACTCGCTACGTTCGTTCTCTCTCTGTTTTTTTTTTTTCTGGATTTTCTCGCTAGTTTTTTCGTACAAAACAAAATGACATCTTTTTGGCATTGGAAGAAAAAATACACTCTTCAACGTTTATCTCTTTCTTAATCCGCCTCTCCCCCTCCTTCCTCTTTTTCGCTAATTAATCCCTTTATGGATCAGATTTCGGGTTTCTTTTTCTTCCTTATACAGGGATCTACGCAACGACTCGTCGAAGAATCGCGCAAGTATCTCGTTCAGCGATTTATTGAACAAATCTCATTAAGACATTCTATTTGAAAGAAATATTTAGCTTTAGCTTACTTTGACAGATTTGCGCCAGCTAACGAGAAATATCACCATTGTCGAAGTACCACCGTCGTCGTTGCGTATCAGCCTGTATTTCGGACAGT